TATATGTATAGTTGGATTACATATAATTGCTCAAATTGCACTGAGTTTCTGTGCCCATGTTCATGAGAGATATTAGATATCGATTCTGTTTTCTCCCCCTCAGCCTGTTCTCAAATGGGTTTCCTGAGAATGGCTCCTCCCCCTGGTGTCCAGCTGAGGCTGTGGGGAAGGATGCCCAGGAGGAGGAAGAGGAGGAGGAGGAAGAGGAAGACCAAGAGGAGGAGGAGGAGGAGGAGGCAGTGGAAGTGGAGGAGGTGGAGGAGGAGGAGGAGGAAGAGGAAGAAGAAGAGGAAGAGGAAGAGGAGGAAGAGGAGAAAAAAGTAGAGCTCTTACACTCTCCAGGCACTTTGTCACCAGACCTCATGGAATTTGAACGGTGTGAACAGCTGGATGGGGAGCTCCCTTCTGTGGGGAAGGGGACAGAGGTTCCAGCTGGGGTATGCTGCAGCCTCTAGGCATGACTCAGACCACGCCCTGAATGGAAGCTCCAGAATTTTCCTATAGGAGGGGCTTGGGGATGAGATTGGTAGAGGTGCTAGAGAACCTAATCTCGAAGCCACATTTGTACAGCACGTACACTGTTTTTTACTTAAACTGTATGTTTATTAGGGGTGCCTGGGAGGGTTGATGGTGATTATGAGAACTAAATCTACCCCTCACCTCCCCCAACACCCCCACACCACCCTCCACAACTCTGGCTGATCTCATAGTAAGACACACGGGGCACGGCTGGCTCAGACACCCCCAGCACTGCCTCCTCCACAGACTCAAGCCCCCTCGGCTGCCGTGGTGGCTTCCAGAGGTGTTGGCCCACTAGGAGGAAGCTCAGTCCACAGCTGAAGGCACAACTTGCAGCCCCCAAATTTAATTTTTAATTAAGTCTGAAGCAGGACTCGTAGCATGCCTGCACATTCACGGGCTCAGAACTTTAAGAAATTTTCCCATAGGATGAGACATGAGCCGGCCACACCTCTCCTCTTCTATAAGGGCAGAGAGCTTGACGTCGCCGGGCACTGGCGGGTCTCGGGGAAGGGCCTCAAAAGCCCAAATCTATGTCCTCCATGGCTCCCAAGACGGCTCTGCTCTCTAAGGGTCAGGGGCGTGCAGATCAGTAAGGGTGAGCCCCTGGAAAAGCAGGGCGCTGTGGCCTAGGCCGGGAATGGAATTCAGACGAGATGGCTTCGGGAGGGGGCTTCAGCCACGAGCTTCAGCCCTGAGAGATGGCGCCACTTCTGTTCCAGGTATCTCAACTTTTACAAGCAGACGATGGACCTTCTGACCGGCAACGGTATCGTCTCCTCGCAGGAGGTGAGGCTGCCCATCGTCTCCGCGGCCATCTCCCACCTGTGGCAGAACCTCTCCGAGGAGAAGAAGGCCAGCCTCCTGCAGGCCTGGGCGCAGATGCAGGCAGGGGCCGCCCAGGAGCCAGCCCGTCCCGAGGGCAGCGTGAGGGACAGCGGCGTCGACAGCCAAGGCGCCAGCTGCTCGCTGGTCTCCACGCCCGAGGAGGTGAGCAGGCCCGCGGGGTGGCCCTCTCCCGCCAGCCGGGGACCAGGGCTTCGTGGTTTGGGTGCCGGCTCACACAGGTTTCTGATTTTCTCGACGTGATCTCCGTGACCGCGGAACGGCGTTTCTTTGTCTCCTGTTAGTTTCCTGGCCTTTTCGTGGGTATCACAGAAGGCTTAGAAGGCTGTCTCAGTGCATTCTTTTGGCAGCCAGTGACTGGGTTATTAACCCATGAAGCAATGTAGCGCTCACAAGCGGGAAGGTCCAGGGCAGGGCCCGGCAATCCGCAACGGCAGTCTGGGGCTCCTCCCTTCCCTGTGCCCATTCTTCCCCGCCTGCCCGCTCTCTACTCCCCTCCCCTGAGGCTGTGGAAGGGCAGCTGGAGCCATGGAGCCATCATTCTTCCTCCTTGACACAGCATAAGGAACGATTTCCTGTGAAAGCTCTTTCTTAAGGGCCAAGGAAGAACTTTTCCAGACACTTCCACCATCCGTCTCCTTCCCTCTCATCGGCAGAACTGGCCAGATTGCCAGCTTATGAACCAATGACCGGCAGTTGAGAGAGGCTCACATTTGGACCAATCAGGTCCAGTCCCTGCAAGGCGGTCAGTTCCCGCCCCCAAGAGCACTGCGACCACTCAGTGAAGAGGAGGCCACAACAGCATCTGTAATGCGTTGCTCTGCGTTTGAGAACGGCCATGGTCTGCAGGGCAGACCATCGGGTAGCATTGGCAGTCGCCCTGCAGTGAGATAAAAGTGGACCCACTGCTGGCTGCTCTTGCAGAATTGGGAGAGCCTCAGAAGATTGCTGCTGCTGCTACACAGGCCTAGGCTGTCCCCGCTCCTCTAGCGCCGCGGCAGCCAATTCTTTACTATCTGCACCTCTTGTGCTTTGCGGGACATTTGGCAGCCATGGCCTCCACCTAGTAAATGCCACCCCCTTGCCCTGACTTTGCAAATGCCCCTCGGTGGCTGGTTCCTTTGAGGAGATGGCCATGCTAGTCTCCCGGTGTCTCTCCGTGGAGACTCTCTCTGAGCCAGAGAGCTTCTGACTGCCTCTGCCCCTGGGGAGAGGTACACCCTGAAATGCCCCCATCCTTCTGGAAGATTCCACAGCTATCAGGCCCTAGCTTGGAGAACAGCAGAGATGTCACCCAGTCCTGTCCTTCCAGTTTATAGGCCTAGCAAGCAGTGTGACTTGCACAGGACACCCAGTTTCTGCTTCAGGGATTGTATCTCTTTCATCTCATATTTTTCTCAAATTACTCTGCCCTTTAGTCACCTGTTGATGGTCAACCTTCCGTTATGTCCCCTGATACTTCTCAACTGAATCACCTATGGAATTCAGCAAAAAGGCAGGTGCCCGACTCCACCCCAGACCCACGAAATCAGAATCCCTGAGGGTGGGGCCTCAGGATCTGCATTTTTAATAAGCACCCCAGGTGGCTGATGCACGTGGGCATAATTGGAGGGAACTCTCAGTGCAGATGTGCGCTGTCAATCAGCTTCTGCCTTGGCCCCCTCCCACGCAGTCATCAGTCCACCAGACTGTCCCTTCTGATCTGTTTTTCCTCTAATGTTGGGTCCACCATGAGAAGATATGAGTTCTCCTCCATGATGGTTCAGCACAGCCAGACGACCGGTAGCCAAAGACTTCATAGCGAAGGCAGGTGTGAAAGGGTGGCCAGGCCAGGTGTCTTTATAGCCCCAGAGTGCCTAGCCCTGGAGTCTCACACAAAGAAGACCAAAGGAAAATACAGTCATGCGCTGCGTAGCAATGTTTTAGTCAGTGATGTATCACATATACAATGGTGGTCCCATGAGATTATGATGGGCCTACATAGAAACCTGATATATGGCACTTGACACTGGCATTGCAGATCAAATAGGGGAAATGATTAATATTCAGTAATGGAACTGGGACATTTCATTTCTATATGAAAAAAATATAAATAAATAAAAATATGTATACTATCTAGGTTCGTGTAAGTACACTCTACGACATTCACACAAAGACAAAATCACCTAAAGACACATTTCTCAGAATGCATCATCATTAAACCGTGCATGACTGTATATACCAAATGCCTGAGCAATTCCATAAAATTCTGACTGTGTGAGCATCTGCCAACGTGAACGCTTTCTCAAAGAAGAGCAGATCCAAAGAGAAAACATGCAGAAACTAATGTCCTCAAATCGTAGAAACAGCTTGTCTGGACTTTTTTCAGGGAGGGCTGTGGGCTGATGTTCTGGTGTTAAGGGAAGCTGGCAGCAGATTCCCTCAGCTGTGCCCAGGAGCAGGGCTCCGCCTGCACCGCCGCGCCCACGTTTGGGCCAAGCCAGGGCTGGGTGATAAGGTAAGCGGAACAGAGAATGCTCATGCCTCAGGCAGGGACAAAGCCACAGTTACTCCTGCTGTGGCTTCTAAATCAGCTGCGGTGAACCCGCTGCAGCTCCTGGTCCACTTGGGGAGGTTCTACTGTGGGGACAATTGTGTTAAAGGCCAGCACCTGGACTCAGGGTCAGGCGTGCCTGGAAGGCACCGGACAGTTCTGTTTCAGGTCTAAGAGACAAGGCCCAGTAAGTGCAGTGGCTGTTCCAGAAAGACCACAGGGCCTGGCCTACGGTTCCCGTCCCAGGCTGGCTTGTGAGAGGGGTTTGCATGTGTGAAGACAATATGTGGCCTACAACTTCGGGAGGCTGATTGGTTGAGGACAGGAATTTAGGTCCTGGGTCTCTGTCTCAGGCCTGCTGGGGAGGAATGTGGAGCTGATGGGCTTCTGGGCTGATGGACATGTGAGCACAGGCCTTTCCTTGGCCCCTTTCTTGATTACCTTTGAAGTGACCAAAGAGATATCAAGTAGGACACCAGAAAATGTCCAGAAAACTAGGAGGAGGACCAGAGTCCCAAGGGATTCAGTTCTGGGGAAATAAATTGAAAGAAGACAAAAAGGGCAGATAGCAGCCCTCTGGGGAAGAGCAGTGTGTCCCAGAGTGGGGTGAGGTGAGACCCTGGCAGCACCTGCCAGTACCCACCAACTCAGGGCCCGAGACCTCCCTCGCCTCTCTTTACAGCAACCGCTGAGATGAATGGGATATCGGATAAAGTAAAGCATGCCCAGTTAAATTTTTAATACAAAAATGTCCCAGGCAACGTTTGGAACATTCTTATGTTAAAAATTATTCATTCTTTTTCTGAAATTCAAAGTTAACTTATATTTGTATTTGCTAAACCTGGCAATCCTAAGTGTAAATCATGTTTCTGTAGCATATTTAATATTCTTTAACAAATTAGGGAAAAGCAGAATGAAAAACTGTCTAAATAGCAAGATTCCGAATTTGGAAATATATGATAAAATATGCCTGGGGAAGTGACTGGAGGGGGAAATAGATCAATGTGTCAACAATGGATATCTCGTTGTTTCTCAGTGATCCTTACTTGTTTTATCTGTTTCTATTTCCTAGAATTTCTACAATGGATGTGCATTTCCTTTCTAGAGAAGATAATGTTCAATAATAGCTAACATATTTAGTCATTATTATGTGCCAAGTGGTTCACATATATTGTCTTACTTCATTCTTGCCACAGCCCTATGAGTAGGCACTGTTGTGATTCCCGTTTTATAGAGGAGGATTCGAGAGATGAAGTCACTTGTCCCATGTCACACAGCTAGTGACTGACAGGGAATCAGCCCTCCTGAAGCCTAACCCAGAGCCTTCCTGAACCTCTGGACTCCGTTGCCCTGGCTGCTAGAATGTCGATCCTGGGCTCAAATAGTCTCTCCATGCTGGGAGGTTTAGACAGGCCTTTCCCAGCTGTAAACTGAGGCTCTGGCCTGTTACATCTTGCCTGAGCTTTAGCAAGAGGAGACACAGTCCCCAGAGCTTCCTGTCCCTCTCAGCCACCTCCGGGGTTGGCAGTTTGTCCTGGGAAATCCAGAGCGTTGTAGTCAGACCCTGAGAGGATCACTGAGCAGAGGCCCTGGGCTGGGGCCCCGGCTCGGGCATGCATGCCTTCTGTCTTTCCACTCCTCTCTCCCCAGCAGCTGAGAGCAGGTATCAGACTGTTAAATTATTTCTGACACGTGAAGTTCTGTGCTTTCTTTCAGATCCTTTTTGAGGATGCTTTTGATGTGGCAAGTTTCCTGGACAAAAGTGAGGCTCCAAGTACATCCAGCTCCAGGTGAGGAAGAGGGTGTGAGAAGTGCGTGCGAGTGTGTGAGTGTGTTTGTGAGTGAGTGTGCACCCCTGCTGGGGTGTCTAGGAGCCTCTCCTCCACAGCTCCCAGATGGGCGCATAATTCAGTGGATGTTCTTGGGGATCCACTTTTTTCTGTGATCGGAAGTGGGCTGGTTCTAGGATTGTCCTGGGCATGTCATCATCTGAAGCCAAAATTCTTCTGTCCTAACTGGAGGTCATTATCTTAAGTGAAATAACTCAGAGACAGAAAGTCAAAGACCACATGTTCTCACTTATAGGTGGG